TGCCAGGCTAATTGGGTAAGGAAAATGATGCTGAGTCTGCATGTGCATGTATACACACCATACAGAAAATATAGATACATATACGCAGACAAAGTGACTTGTGATAAAAAATTTAAAATATAAACTGCATACGAGCTTTTAAGGCCACAAACTCCCGTTTAACTTTTCAGCAAAAATACACCCTTTCAATCAATGCACCTTTCTCTTAAATGCTGACTTCCAGACTTGGCTCTTCAGCCTTTTCCTAATCCATCTTCAAAAGGATATCCAAGGAAAATGAAAGGTTTGAAACAAGTTTTTGTTTTTCCCAGGCAGCAGGGTCACTGGGGTTCATTAGGAGGTGCTGCAGTTGATAAGATCATACATCTCCATTACACAGGGAACCCTGAATGCTCCCAACCAGCCAGTGCTTAAAACAACCCCTTCACTTTTTTTGTAAAAATATCTAAAGCTCCATATTCTATTCTAGGAGCGTTTGAATAAGAAACCTATCACCCTAATGGAAATGCAGCAGCACTCTCATAGCTGCATACTTTCTATACATTTTGAAGAATATCAATGGTACCACATGCTGTACAGAAACACTGAAGGGAAGAAATCTTCCCCTTTTCCAGACTATTTTCCACTTTTAAATATACATAGGCATTTCAGGAGTCGTTTTTGAGCTTTGAAAAGTAATGGTTTGATGAGATTAACTTTATTTTTCTTTTTTCTACAAAGATCTCCGACAAAAAAAAACCCAACCACACATGGATTCAAATAACAGCTGCTTGAAGAGTTTGCAAATCTCACACCTTAAGAAGCCACTAAGTTAATAAAGTTTAACAGAAGTTTAGACATATTTATAATTTGGAAGGAAATGGCTGCTGTGTCACATCACCTGATGTTGTTAAGTCAAGAAGAGACTATCAAACGACAGAGGAGACTTCGCCGGGTTGTTGTACCCTCAGAAACCACAGGAAAATCACTTCACACCATTCCCTAACTGCACCTGCAGAGCTGCAAAAAACACGAGTGGGGGCTTCCCTCCAGTCACCTCAACTGACCCTCCCGGCAAAGACGCAGCACAACACTCAGGAGAGCAGAAGGGCTTTTTTTCAATTTCCTAATACACCTCTGCTATTATATTTTTACGTTATATATACAGTGTGCATGTCAAAAAAGGTAAGAAATTCTGTTTTAGAGACTATTTAGCTGCCTACTTTTGTGGTATCAGCAGCTTTCTTTATTCCATTTCTCTTACTGTCTCCCTTTTAGTGACTACAGATCACCTAAAACTCTAAGGGTCTGTTAGACCAAAAATTATCACCCGAGTATTTTTCTGTTCGCAAAACAATAGAGACTTGTGAGATGGGGATGAAGGAGAAATAGCACTGAACTTTTCTCTTCTGTGCCCAACTATCCTGCTTATACTCAACAGATCCCATCCAAACACACCTCCTGGAACAGCAGGGTTCATCAGAAGAGAAAACATTTCATCTGGAATTGCTTATTGCTTTAAAAAAAGATTGCAACATGAACAGATTGCAATAAATAGGGTAAAACTCCTTCTCAGTTGATTAAATACATTTCACAACGTAGTTGGCATAATTTTATTTTTTTTTTCTAAATCAAGACAAGGTTTTAGACTGAATCGGGCTCGATTACCTTAAAACAGTATCGATCTCTCCATGTGAGTCTGAACGGTTGAATGAAAGAACCGTGATCACCCTTCACTAATGACTCACGTGACATATACTTAACATCATGTCCATTTATTGTTCATCAATTATTAAACAGAGCTTTCTCATGGAAGATATTCAAGTAACTTCCTCCTCCTCGGGTTGGATAAGGTAGAGCCATACAGCAGAGCCATCCAGCTGTCCTTAACTGTTACAGTTACATTTATTTCACTTCATTATTTTGTAAACTTAAAATAGAATGCCGTGAGAAACTCAGGGAAAAAAAGCCCACTAGCAAAAAGTATTGTCATCCCTCTGGTACAATTTGGCTTCGGAACAATTGCTAGTGATCCACACCAAAAAATCTGGTAAACTTTAAGGCAAAAGAAACACTCTCTAGTTTGCTGTTAGAGTCAGAAAACATCCCAGTATGATACTGGTACAAATGTCCAGTACTTAGCTGGAAGACAAGCACTGCCCTTCTCGGCATTCCCCAAAGCTGTACCCAAACTTGAGGCTGTTTATTCCGCAAGAGCAGAGATTTTAAGTTTTAAATGACTTAGTAAAGGAGGGGGGAAGCAGCCAAAAACGTCTTAATTCTATCACTACTAAAGTAATAGGAACTTGCCTGCTGAGAAGAAATAACCAGCAAACAAAATAGATACTTTTGCTTCATTTAACAATCAAAATATTCTCGAATCTGGAGCGTGCAAATCCAGACTAAATTAGCAAATTCTGCAGAGTTACTTCAGTACTGACTTTCGCATAAAGAGGAGGCAAAACCTGGCTTGTATCGCCCACAGTTAGCACAAACACTTTCTAAAGAAAGCAAATATTATCTTTTTCTTTGATGCAGCCCTACAGACAGAGCCCACAGAATTGCCCGCAATTAGGTCAGCACACAGCAGCACTAAGAAGATTGAAGATTTCAGATTTTAAAACTCTAAAAGAAGTAGAAGCACGCTCTGTCTGAGCACAGACACCCTGAAATATCTCAAAGCATTTTCAAGGAACGAGCGTTTGCTCACATATAACACACCAGAAGCTCAATCTGTCGCATCCAAATACAGAATAGACCATTTAAAAAACATGGATAATAAAACATCTTCATTAAAAAGATCACATTTCATGACATTATAAAATACTTTAAAAAGTTTTACCAATTTTTTGCTGCAGGTAACCTGAAGCTGGAACAGAAAAGCCAAAGCGCCAGAATAAAGTTATCCAGACTAAATTGTTTCTCTCATTAATATATTACCTTTCTTCGACTGCAGATATCTCACAGCCCTTATCAAAGTAGGCCAGATCCGTTTCATTTCCCTAAGGTTAAGCTGGTGAGCAGGATCCAGAGGATTCATCGACTAAGGAATGGTCACCATTCAATGACAAATATAGCACGAGCTATTTCTCAGCTGGCCTATTTTTTTTTTTTTCTTTTGGGAGGCCGAGATGGAGCTTTTTCTAGAAATCCCTGCAATTGGCAGTCATGAAGATGCTGGTGGTGCCTTTGTCCTCTTATGCAACTCCCGGTGTCCCCCCCTTTCTCCTCCCCCCCAGGAATAAGAACAGATTATTACATGGCTGTTCTCCATTTCGGGATAGAGGAGGCTGGATAAACCATCTTCCCCGAAGTTATGTTCTGAGAACACTTCAGAGGGGAAGAGGGAGGGATCATTTTTCATTCATTTTAGTGGCTGGAGGGGGGGGTGGTGGGGAATCGATACCTTTTATCCCACCTCCTGCCAGGAGCAGCCAGCCCAGCCATAGTCATCCTCTGGTGCTGGAGCAGGAGGGAGAAAACCGATATTCCCACTACTATAACAACAGATGGTAACAACTTGCTTTTTTTTTCTTGCAGAAGATTTTTCTTCCCTATTTTTGGAAGTTACTCCCTGGGAAGTACCTTCGTTCTGACCCTCAGAACAGCCCAAGGAGGAGAGGAATCCCAATTTCATCTTTCATCGCCCAGTCTGTGACACACAGGAGCAGGCATCGCTCTCACCCCTTCCTGGTAAACAAGTTTTAGTTACAGCAAAGCACAGCCCTGGTTTAGCTTTGTTTCCAGCTACTGTTACTCACTGTTTAATTAACTATTCTTCCCCGGTGAGCTGACAGATTCTGAACTTTACGAGACGTTACCAGGATGCAGTCTTCAAGTTCTGCAATTTCTTCTTTTTAACTTATTTCTACTATCTGTGCTACTATAACATATCAAGTGCTTGTTTAGCCCAAGCAGGTCAGCCAGGCAGAGAAAGAAGACAAAGACAGTGTTAAATGCTTCTCTGCATCTCCTCCAAATAACGAGCCAATAAAAATTCTAAATAAATTTCCTGTTTGGTTTGTTTTTTTTCCAACCCCCCCAAGACAACTCATCCTCAGCTTCTGAAGGAACTGCCTCTGTCTGCGCTCCAAGATTACGGTGACGCAAGACTTCACTGCCAGTTTCTCTTCCAAAAAAGAAAGTACGTTGAAATGAAAGTGAACACGAGGAAAGTTATGCTCACAATCAGCAACACTCAACCTTTTGCCGTTGTTTTCCATCTAAGGAAGATTTCATTCTTTGGCTACTAAGAGAATTTCAAGCTTTATCCCCGTGCTGTATCTTCATACACACGCTCCCAACCACGACAGCAGCACACAAATACTTTTTGGATTGTACCAGGGTAAATATCTTTGGGATATTTATAATGTTATAAACGTCTTGGGATGCAAGGGAAGGCCATCACGTGACTGAGCTTCACATTTCCATCTAATTATTGTTAAGCCTCAACTGCAAGTCAAACCCTCTCATTGTAATAAATGCATGCTTTGTGGCTAGTTATTGTCTCCTTTGGGGGCTGAATAATAGGGGTGGCAACTTCTAATGCAGCCAGTGAAAAGGCGTTAGTCTGCCACTGGAAATATTACCTACCAGCAGCCACTTAAAACTATTTTATTTTTTTTTTCCCAAGAGGTAAGTGAAAGCAGAATTACACATTTGCAGTGATTTCCAAGGCACAAAGACGAAAAACAAAGCCCTCCAACCCTCACATCGGTGGCAGCAAAACCCCCAAACAGCTCAAGTGCTCCTTCATTTTAAATAATTCTGAAAAGCAAAGGAGGTGGGGAGGGAAAAATAATTTCAAAAAGCATCAGAGCTGTCAGGTGAAAGAAGATGCTGCGGACAGCTCTGCATTACAACCGCATGACCGGAATAAAGATATTTTATACTATAGCTTTGCCTTTTATCGGTGGTAGGAAAAAAAACCAACACAACCTACGGACCCACAGGTGGTAAAACATGAAATTAACAGGGGGTGGGGAGGGAAATAATCACTCTAAAGCAGAGGGAAGGTGTACCTTTAGCCCAGCAGATGGGGAATGGGCTGCAGCCGCTCCTCTCCATGCAGCCCGCACCTGCCGGCTTCGGGGCCCGCTGCCCGGCCACCTCCAGCACCCACATCCGCGCGGCCCCGCGGAGGTTCCGCGTGCGGAGGTTCCGCGTACGCCGCCTCGCTCCGCCGTGCAACGCGGGGGCGGGGAAAACCGGGAGGAACCCGCTTTTCCCCCCCCCCAACCCCCAACAATCCGCTGCTGCGCTCCCTTCACCTGCCCCGCTCCGCGCCCCGCGCAGCCCGCTCCGCCGGCGGGGGGGCACCGCTCCGCGGCTTCATCCTCGCCTCCCACCCGGGCGAGTGGGAGCCCGGACCGTCCTTCTACCCCCCCCCAAACACCCCCCGTGGGTGGCGAGAGAGGACGAGGCGGTGGAGCCAAGGCGGGTGCCCGGCCTCCTGCCTTCCCCGGGGGGGGGGGGGGGGGGGGGACCCCCGGCCCCCCCCCCCCCCCCCCCGCCGCCACGCTCGCCGTCTCCCGGTGGTGGGCGGAGGGGGGGGG